GATTAGTCATGTAAACATTTGCTTGGCAACTGGTTTCTTCAGGAAGTTAATTTGCAAACCTCCATAGAGAATTTAATTTATTACTTTACCAAACAGCAAACTGTTTTAAGAGAAACCAAAATGATTTCATAAAAAATTTCAAAAGTAAACAAAAATGAATTAAGCAGAGGAAGAGCACATTTGAAAGGATCTAACTTCCAATAAAGAATTATGAAATATTATATCTTAAATACATGGGCTTCATCTTGCTCCATATGTTTAGAATGCCAAGGCATTGTGCAAATCCAGAAGCTAGATTTGCATATAAAAAGTATATTTGTAGTTCATAAAAGCGCCTTTGGATGAAAATTTTGAAATTCAAGATAAAAACCTAGTCTGCAAAAAAAAAATGTAGACTGGCAAAACACTAATTTACTTTGAGTAAGTACAATACAATTCAAAATGAGGCAGGAGAAAAAGGCTTTAAAAGATATGAAAGTAAATTGTTCTTTGTTTCTTTACAGCTCAAACTCACTGAGTATAGTAACAAACAGTCCTAACTGCCACTGAGCTTGCTGACAAAGTGATGTTCAATAAACACCCACTGATGATACTAAAAATAAGATATTTGGAAAGAAAGTAGTATCTTAGAGATGCACACAATTTTGAACCAAATATATTCTTCCATATAATAGAACTTGATATCTGAAGCAGAAAATAATATTGAGCAGATTAACATACTCTGTCCCCAGATGATTTTGTTTCCTCATATACATAGCTAAATCTGTAAATTGCCCTCTAGAAATGTTTATTTGAATCTATAAATGACTCTTTTATTACTTAGCTACTCAAAGTAATTATGATATGATAATAAGTGATATTTTAAGTTCTTTTTGGAAACAATAATGCATTCTGATAATATTATACAGAATTAAAAACCCGACGCACAGAAACTCTTCTGACATGACTGTCTGTACTTGTTAAAGATCAGTTAGATAGTAGCAGTGAACCATTTGAAGTTCACTGCTAAGTCAAATTTGACTTTGTAGTTTAAAGTCAAATCATCATTATCAAATACGGAATGTGAATACAATGGATTTGATCGTTTTAAATGAACCTATAAGGCACAACAATAATCTAGTCACTTAGAAAGTAATGAAGCGTACTGAAATTTCTTCTGTGAAGGTAGATGATACAAAACCCAGAAGCCCTTTGCCTTTGAACAATTCTATCCATTCCAAAGTAAAATACACTCCCATCACTTGGGTTTGGCCATTCCAGTGACAACTATATGTTAGCTTACCCTGCTTCCTTACTCATTTACATTTTATTATGAGGTCAAGGAACGGCTCACTGTGGAGGTCACATCAAGTTGTCACCTGCATAAGAAGTGTCAGCAATAAGGCCACTTCGGGAGTAGAGACTGGTGGGGAGAAAGAGAGAGAAGGTCAGAGAGTTCAGTAAAGTCCAGACCATGCACAGCTTCAGGCCAGGTGAAGAATGGGAAGCTATTGGCAGATTTTAAGCAGGGGGATGTCATGATTTAATGTTTTCAAAAGACCACTCTAGCAGGAGGAGTGTGGTGGAGTGAGAGTGGGTGTGGGTAGAGCAGTTATATGACCATTTAAGCGATCTTAGCAGACATGATGGCAGCTCTGCAATGAAGACTGGGAGATGAACACGGGATATATTTTGGAGTTGTATCTGATCGGGCATACTGATGGATTAGAGGGTAGTAGTAGTAAGCAAGGTAAAACTCAAGGCTGCCTTGATGGTATTTGCTGAATTGAGGAAAGGCTGTGGGAAGAATATTGGGGATAGGAGAGGAGTAGGGGTGAAGCAAGAGTCCAGTTTTGGGTTTTATAACCTTCGAATGTCTGTGATATATCCAAGTAGACACATCAAGGAGGCAATTGGATCTAAAAACTTTCAACTTGGTAGAGAGGTCAGTGCTAGATTTATAAATTAAGTAGCCATCGGGTTATTGCTAATGTTTAAAGCTGTAAGACTGGGTCCAGGTTGAGAGTGTGACTGAAGTGCACCTAGGACCCAGCCTTTGGACACCTCACCACTGAGATTTTGGAAAGAGGAAACCAGCCTGCAAAGAAGACTGAAGTGTTCCAGTGTGGAGGAAAACCATAGAAAAATGGCATCCTGAAAGTCACAAGCACACAATGTTCAAGAAGATGAGAGCGTTCAACTCGGTCAAATGCTGTGAAGACATCAACGAAGCTGGGAACAGAAACATAACTATTAGGTGTGATAAAACTAAAGGTCATGGGTGACCTTAAAGAGGCATTTCAGTAAGTATGGGGGCTGGAAACCTATTTAGAGTCAACTGAGGCAAAAATGAAACGTGAAAATATTAAGACAGCACTTTTGTTTGCTGTCTTGGGTAGAGAAAAATGGGGTAGAACCTGGAAGGGGATAATGTCAAGAAAAATGTTTGAGTAGAAATGAATACCAGTGAGACTGATCCAATGAAAATGGAGAAATTGATGGTGTAGGAGAAAAACAAATTTAACTGCAGGAGGAAGTCTTGGGAGCAGGTAAGAGGGGATAAGAGGAAGCACAGCAGAGGGACCATACTTAGATGACAGTAGGAACTCTCCACCCATCACATTGGGGGTGAAGTCAGAGCGTGTGAGTTTATACATAAGTAGGTTGGTATATTTTGAGGTACATGATGAGGGGTTATTTTGAAACTAGACACAGAGCATATGTGTACTATGGGATATCAAAGCCAGTGTACATCATTTGTATTAATGAGTATACACAAATATATTGATCACCATCTTAAAGACATGAATAAGGCAATAGAGAGAGAGGGATTTGAGGATACATCTTAGACATTGTTTTTGCCTGATTTGATTCTTCCATTTCTACCCATTACATTTTCATATACTGAAGATCTATGACTTTCTAGTTAGATAATTTTATAATGCTACCAGACAGGCAGCCAAACTCAAAATCTATCTTCCTTGAGAAGTTCTATCCTATTGTCTTAGTCTTCTCTGATTGTTTCTTGACCTCTAGGCTGTACCTCACAGTACAGTTGGCACTCAATCATTTCATATTTGTCTCCTGCTCATAGGTCTTATTGTCTCAAGTAGATGTTAAGGTTCCAGGATGCGGCCAAGTATTTTACAATAAAATATCATTGTCTCTCCCACTGCGAAAAACCTAGTATTAGATATAAAGTGAGTACTTAATAAATGTTTGTTGATCAATTTATCTTTTAAGGGTTGAATGGCTATAAAGAGTTTTATGCAGTAATTCCTTGGTTAACAGACTCCACGTAATTCTTCACGGCACCTGCTGGGCATTGCTGGGAGATGCTGAAATCATTCATCAATTTTCTCCTTTTTATGCTATTCAGTTAGTCTGTCTAGAGCAAGGTCTAGAATGTATATCAATCAAAAGCACAATAATGACCTGTGTACAAGCTATCTCCATACTAATGATTTGCATCCACTATCTTACAGAAAGAACTTTGGTCTAAGAAAGCACTGAAGTGAAGGAAACTTTAAGGAGAATACTGTAGTAAGAACTGAGAATTACCCAGTGTTAGTGTTGCAAATAGTTTAATGATGAGTTTGAAATCAATTTGGCAGTACCTTTAGTGGAAAAATAATATTAAGAGAATACTCATCACTATAGCCTATTTTGCATTGTCTTAGATAAAATTTTTCTTCAGCCTGCACTGAAAGCTTAAATGTCAGTAGACTTTTAGTATATGGACTTCTAGTTTGTTGAAATTATGTGTAGCATGTTTAGTTTTTAATTTAATTCCAATTCTTAAGGCAATTAAAACTATTTGGATATAATATTTAAATCAGAATCCAAATATGGCATACATATATTTTTCTTTTAAGAAGTAGTTGTACTGTCATACAATATTGACCTTTAATTTTATGTAACAGGCTATCACGGAAAGTTAAAGAATTAATCATCTGAATAGCATTTAACCAAAAATCCCACATACCATATACATAGTAGTCTATAGAGTTCTGCAGAAGTGAGTGATTACAGCTACTGTAAAATTTTGTCATTCTATAAAGTAGTTGTTGACAGAATAAATGACTGTTTTTCCATGTTATATGCAAATTGACAAAGATAATATCTGATAAAATGGAAAACACCAAGAGACGTAGAACTTCAGAATATATGAAACCCACACCAAAATATCATTAGCAACACTCTTTCAGTAGAATCCCATAGCATGAGACAATATTAATAGAGAGAATCTTTTAAGAACATTTGTTGCATAAAATATTTTAATTGAAACAATTAATGAATTCCATCAGATAAGTGTAGATTTACAAGATTTCCATTTTTCAATACTTACATGAAAATATCTGATAACAGAGCCACTAAGTATAGGTAAGAAATATTAAACCTGTTTAGCTATTATTCTAGGTTTCTATTCATTTCTCACTAACTTACATTGATTTTTTGTTCTGCTTTTATTCATCCTATAAATTAGACTCCAACTGGCGATTAAAATGTCAAAGTTTGCATTGTTCATCTAAAAAAAATAAATCTAGACAATTTAGAATTATTTTAAAATTAACCAATAAACTATGATCCATTTGTTCTCTTTGTGAGCGCTTGGGTGGAAAAGCAGACTATTAGTACATTGGTAAGGTGTTTCTTTTTCTTTAATCACCAGGAGAAAAGATATATAAATCTTTTTCTTAAAGCTTTTTTCTTTCCCACGGAGACAACACATCTTAAAACGAAGGTTAACAAGCAATTAATAGCACAGACTTAACTAAATATTGCAAATGTGATAGTATAATATCTTGGTAAATATGGGAATTTTGAGAGCCATAAAATTAAAGACTTTGATATATGTGAGATCAATAGACATGACTTATCACTATTTAATATGAGCTTTAATTTTTAAATGCCATGTTCCAATGAAAAAGTATATTACACAGGAAAATTGAAATTTCAATAAAGAATCAAGACAAAAGAAACAAACTTTATATTAAAGTACCTCTAAAGGTTGTACTTACGCAGCAACCTCCTCTTTTGACAATCCTTTGAAATTCACCTCTAGATAATGATCTATGTCATCTTTTTCTTTGATCAATTGAGACCTAAATGAAATAGAAAGAAATAATAAAGTACCACCTTACAAGTTGAAAAGCTAACAAACATGTAAAATGCCACTAGGAGAACAGAAATGTTCAGGGTATAATACAATATATAATAAACGCAATAGCTATAGAGTTAGGTCGTTGGTTGATCATTTCAAAATTTTATCTTTCCTGAATGGAAAATGATAAGGAAGAATATTAAACCCAGTATGTAAACAAATAAAACACCAACACCTTGAAATAATTCACTTTCTACTTAAGAGTCTTCTCCTCAAAGCTTACAAGATCTTCTGCTTTGCTCATATTTTTTTGTGGTGTAACTTTCCAACTGCTGAAGTTATATACTGTTTGGCACAGAATCCAGAGCCTAGAACACCTGTTTGATTCAAACGTATAACATGAATTTGTCCCAAACATTACTCAATTTTGTCCTGAAATGGTCTTTGAACAGTTTTTTAAATCACACATAAAACTCAAATTACTAAAGTTTCAAGGTGCAAAATGATTTTAAGAAGCCCTTATTGAAAATATATTATACTTGTAGTGCATTCATTCTTCACACCCATTTGCACCTTTAAAAATAAGCATGCTATCAACTTCTCATAACTATGATGATATGGAACTAAACAAATATCAGTGTTTTATTCAGAAGCTATTAAAGAATGTTGATACAAACTTTGCCTTTAGGGGGTATGATAAAATCTTTTTCTTCAATGAAATGAATACAAGAAAAAGTTTTCTTTAAAACTCATCCTATCCTATGGATATGAGATTTGGCTATGCTTTTGCTCACCTTGAAAACAAAAGATAAATTAAATCCTTTAAAAAGACAGAAAGAATAAGCTTTTTCCGACTTCATAAATATTTTACATTATTCAAAAGTAAAACAAAAAATATGTATATATATTATAGTATACACACATGAATTATACATTCATTGAAAGATTTATCTGCTATAGGAAAAGAAAATTTTGATTTAGTATTTTAAAAGAATTTTTATGTTAGTTTAGCTGAATGTATTTATTTTGGTCTGGGGATTTGGTTTTTCCTAGAAGAAATACTAAAAATGAGGCATGAGAACAAAGAAGACTTCTAATACTTTGATCATTATACCTTGCAGGAATGGAAAAGTAGGCATATAAAGAAAATAAACCTATGTATGCAAACTATTTATATTGGTAAATAATATGTGTATTACAAAAAGTCAATAGAATTATAAATGGCAATTTCAAAATAGCACAATCAGTTAATATTCATAATTATGACAAAATGTATCAGTTTCTCTGTCCTACATTTCCTCAGTGACACTTTGAGTAGCTCAGCAGTCACTCATCGGCGCAGCAGTTTGATGATGCATTTTCAGGCCCCAGCATCATTTCAGGAGCTGATTCACGCCCTCCAATCTACCCTACAAGTAAGGCTCTACCCTCCTTCTTCCTAAACATAAGTCAGCCCTTGGAACCTTATAGATTAAAAGCATTGCACCTTTCAGTCTGGGCATGGTGGCTCATCCCTACAATCCCAGCATTTTGGGAGGCCAAGGTGGGTCATTCATTTGAGACCAGGAGTTCAAGACCAGCCTGGCCAACATGGCAAAACCTGTCTCTACTAAAAATACAAAAATTTAGCTGGGCATAGTGGTTCATGCCTGTGGTCCCAGCTACTCAGGAGGTTGAGGCACAATAATCGCTTGAACCCAGGAGGCAGAGGTTGCAGTGAGCTGAGATCACACCACTGCACTCCAGCCTAGGTGACAGAGTAAGACTCTGCCTTAAAAAGAAAAAAGCTTTACACCTTTCATTCCCAAAGCTTCTGCTTTCTGTTCTCCATACACATTTAAAACAGGAAACTTATCTCCAAAACTCTATGGGAACCATGATATAATTGCAATAGGAAATAAAACGATGAAATAACCACTAGATTAATAAATAAATAAATAAATATATTTGCAGTATTTGAATGTGGTTCATAAATCCTTTTGAAACAGCAGATTTCAATATTCTCAACATAACAAGGTATTTTTCTCTACCTTTGAAACGATTTTATTTTCTGAAATACATTATTGACATTTCTTACTACAGAAAATTCATTCTGTAGGAAAATAAGTAAAAACCAGGGACATGTACCTTGGAATTTTTCTGGAGGAGCAAGGCAGCTTCTGTCTGGCTAAGGCTGTAAGCTTCGGGCGTGTCATGGGCAGTGGGGGCAGGGTGGTCATTTTGGACTACAAAAAGAAATAAGTAGAAATTGTATTTTAAAGAATAAATCTTTCAAAGGATCCTTTAAGACATTATTAGAGATTCACAGTCTGTCATCTTAGTTGAGAATGTCTACATGTAGTGCTATAGCTGTGTTATTCAGGAATGATGTTCAGTGAGTGGATTCTGTAGGTTGCTTCTCTCATTATTTTCCTCCATTGTCTGCTTTTTGGCCAATTTATTATTTGTCTGTATCTGCACCACAAAGTAGATAAGAATAAAATATGATAAAAGCATTGATGGTTCAGTTGGCATTTTTGGTAAGAGTTTTGTAAGGGACATGATTGCAATTAAAGAATAAAGATTTTTAGGATAGCTACGGATTTCCAATGTTTATGTGTTGCTTTCCTGTTATTATCAATAATTGAAAATTGCTCATACTTGCTGTTTTCTAAAAGCCTTATTGCTCGCAAATAAAGGCTTTTCCTTAGATGTGATAGATGATAAGAACAATTCTCAACAAGGAGACAGCTGCCCTGAGAAAGCACACAGCCATAACAATATAATGAATCACTTCAAAATGTACTGCTTTTAAAAAGTTGTTTAAAACAACTTTATCTCACACTTTACATGGGTCAGGAATAAGGACAGGGTATGATAGGCATGGATTTTTTCTCCTCCAGGATGACAGGAGCCTCTGCAGAGAAAACTCAGAAGCTGTAGTAACCCAATGATAAGGGACAGGAATCACCTTGAAGTGTCTTCACTCACTTTTCTAGCGGTTGATGTTAACTCTTAGCTGGGACTCAACTGGGGCTATCTGCTAGAACTCATACATGTGGTCTCCTCATGTGGCATAGGCTTCTTCACATCATAGCAACCTAAGACTTCTTATGTAGCAGTTCCAGGTTCCAAAGGCAAGTATTTTAGAGAAAAGCCAGGCAGAAGCTTTATCCCGTTTTAGGGTCTACCCTTGGAAGTCACATAGCATCCACTTCTGCTGTAATAACAAGTTCACCCAGATTCAAGGCAAATGAACACAGAACCACCTATTGATAGGGGAGTGTCAAAGTTTCATTGTAAGAAAAAAATATGGCATGGGAGATACTGTTGCAGCCCTTTTTGGAAAATGCACTGTGCCACAGTGGTGAGCAATTAGGAAGGCAAGTCTATAAAATCAAGTTATCTAAATCTTACTCCAAAGGGACATAGGGACATGATGTCTGTGAACTTAGAATAGAAAAACTGTTACATGGTGCAAGGGCTCTCAGATGCAAAAGAACCCATGCTTCTGTTAAATAGAGAGGCATCCAAAAGGCCAGGGGCTCCTGATCTCACCCCCTCTATGTCCACCAGATTTGACCTGTACTCTTAGCTTCACCAAGCAACTGAAAGGCTTGTTTTAGGTTTTAAATGGCTTATCTTCAGCATTACTACCTGTGTGACCCAGGGAAAATCACAATAAAATCTGGGCCTTGAATATATTCAGCAGATATTTAGTGAGCTCCTTTTTGGTGCCAGGCACTGTTCCAGGTGCCAAAGATACAGCAGTGAAGAAAAAGACAAAAGTCTCTGATCTCACAGACTTTGCAGTATGGGGGTAAATATGGAGAAAGACAATACACAAATAAGCAAAATACATAGAACCTCAGATGTTGATAAGATTCTCTACTGGAAAACAAAGCAGGGAACTAGAAACTATCCAAATGCTCACCAATGGCAAAGGGATGAATAAAAACAGAAGGAGACAAGCTCAAAGACATTACAGAGAATTTTGTTGGGTGTCCCAACAGTGCAATGTCTTGAGGGTTACTGTAAAAACCGGCTTTTATTCTCATCGAGGTAAGAATCCACTGGAGGATACAGGGCATAGAATTGACACGATCTGACTTTTATCCTGAAAGGATCACTCTGACTTTTTCTTTCAGGTTAGACTGTAGTAGGGGAAAGGGTAGACAGCAGAGAGGCCAGCTCAAAATCTCCTGTGAAATACAGGGGAGAGAGGGTGGTGGCTTAGGTAGGAGTAGAGAAGGAGAGATGTAGTCAAACCTGAAATAGAACCACCTGTGGATGGCTGAGACCCAATATTCCTCTAGTGCTACAAAGCCATGGTGGAGGTGGGGGTGGAGAAGCACTAAGACGAAAGAAAATCTTCTGAAATTCAGTGTAAACAGACAGCTTCGTGTTACTGAAAAAGATTATTACCCTGGCCTAAAAATCATTTTTTACATAATTAAAGAGAATTTTAATGGAGATCAGTGGTTTATTTTAAATATAATAGAATCCCAGTACTACCAGCTTATCAAGGCATGATACAATCTATGAAACAAAATGCCCACTTATTTTTATGCAGTTGTAGCTTTAAAGTGCACAATCTAAACAGCAAATGTTAGTCCTCTCCTACAGACTGAACATTAGAAACATACTATATTACCCTCATAACTTCATAACATGATGACAATTTTTTTAATTTTAAAAATCTATTTTTCTGATTAGATGTTACATTAAATAGTTGAGTTACTGGAATAACAAGAACTTACTAAATGGCGACATCATACAGAGCATATGGTAAGAAGTTATGACTCATGTGAGGTTTGAAGGGACACCAGAGCTCCCCAAACGGGCCTCCCAAGAGCTTACTTCAGAGGAGCTATGAAGACTGTTCCACAGAGTTCAGAGTCTTCCAATGTTACAGTGAACATCTGAATGATCTAAGTTCTTAACCCAGACCAGTGTAGCCCTAGTAAATTTCAAAAGGGAGAGAGGAAAACAACTAAGTTTGCCTTATTTGGGGCATTCCATCATCTATAAATTTTAGACTCTTTTCTAAAAGCCCCCCTTGACTTGCCAAAGCATTATGCAGTGGGCACTGGGGCCAGGGTAATCTCCTCATAATTGCAGGCATCTTTGAAGAGTTCACTAAGGAGGTTCGAAATGAGGAACAGTGCTTGCAATTTCCTTGAATACTAAGAATATCCAGCTATTTGTAGACAGATAAAAGAGAGCAGCCCCCAGAGGTGCTGATCCAGTCAACATAGCTCATCCAGGTGAGTATAACTCCTCACCAAAGTTGGCATACCAGCATGTTATATAAAATTTATCCTTTTTGATGTTTACTTGAGATCGAATAGAAACCAAATGCAAATGATATACATGGAGAGGGGTATGTCTTCTTTGTCATACAGATCAACTGCGCTCTTTTTTTTTTTTTTCAAACTCTGAGTCAACGTTTCCTACCATTAAAGTTTCAGCTGCCAGTTCCTTCATTTTGCTCTCCTCTGATCTGAGAACATTAGCAGCAGGAGCACCTTTACTCTTAAATTTAGTTTAATGTAAGTACTGCAAGCCCTGCTGGCAAGCCTCAAGGCACAAACTCTGAATGGGGGGTGCTCAGAGCTGAATGATAAAGTGGAAAAAAGTTATCAGAGCTGAATGATAAAGTGGAAAAAAAAAAGCATGTTGGAAAAAATATCGCTCAATCAAACTATGTTGGAAAGTTTAAGCTTAGAGTGAGGGTGGAAGTTGAACAGGCTTTCTCCTTGTTTCTGAACCCCACATCCTGCCTTGTCAATGCCTATCGGGAAAGAGAATTTTGTTTCTCAGAATCAATACATGGCCACATAAGGTATTTTGTTTTACAAAACAGATAATGTGTGATCTGAATTTTATGACACAGTTAATATTTTGAATGCACCAAATATTTAAAGGGGTCCTGTAACAAATTACTTTCTTATCTAAGTAATTGCCATCTTTTATGCCTTATAAGTTCAAGCAGGGTTTGCGGTACTTACATTAAATTAAATACCTGTAAAGAAAGCCTTTTGGTCTTTGTTAATATGAGTTGCATCATTTTCCTGGTGTTGGTCAGACAGCATTCTCAGTTTCCATGTGAGCTCCAGCCTAGACTCAACAATGAAGAATGGGACTAGGGCTATGAGGTGACTGACCCAGGCCTGTAGCATAAATGGAGCACATCGCCATCAGTTATGGCACCTCCTTAGAGTTCTCCTAGATCTACATCTCAGGGGAAAACACACAAGATAGGTGTGACTGCAGGAAAGGAAATTGCTCAGGTTCAGGTGAGTAAGAAAAAAGAAGAATGAAAGATACCGCTTTGGCTGGCACCAGAATGAGCTTAGCCCCAGGAGCTCAGGCTGAATCAGCCTCTTAGGAGGACCCAGAGGCACCTCCCCAGTGCCAGCAAGTGGGCAGTGCTGCAGTGTGGCACCATCAGGTGCTGAGACAAAGATCAAAAGGCCGCCTGAAGCCATTCCACTGTTGGTATTCAGAAGAGATTTGGTGCACCCTTTGATCTGCTGGTTGGCTCTTGTATCACAGTTACAATCTCTAAGTTTGGCCCCCACATGCAAAGACAAATGAGAATGGAGAAATACAGGATGAAAGGTTTGAGTGTGCTAGGTCAGGCTGAATGTGTCCCATGGTGTGAGTTTAAATTTTTGGCCCCCAAGTAAAATTCTTCAAAGAGTAACCCTCCTTCCCTCTATCCCCAGAGATGCCTTTATCAGGAAACACAAAGGAGGGAGGCCTACTACTGTGTACACGGAGGCTACTTGGAGAATGACTATGTCTGAGGCTGACCAGTGTCTCCAGGGTTCAGTCACTTTGGAGTAAAAACTGAGATGAGAGAAATAAAGCCAGTAAAGCACAGTAAGCGAGTTTATTGTACATCATCACGAGTTCAAAACAAGTATGATTTTACTAAAAATCGTTCATAAGAATTCAAACTTTTCCTATTATCACAAGCTCTTTTACTACGAAAGTTTAACGAAAACTACAGAAGAAATATCACTATGCTCCCTAAGTAAAAAATAAATAAATTTATGAAGAGTCACTAATAATGTTTATTCCTGGTATCATAATTTTTTGACACTTCTGGCACTCTCTCGTGGGTAATTAGATAGGTTGTTATGTAAAATAAATAGAAAACACATTTCCTACCAACTGACATCGATGGCTAAATCACAAAATCAAGCAGGAAAAGAGTCTGAAGGCAATCCATATTTCACTTGACTTACATTTGCAGATTACTGCTGATGGTCTCTCCAGGCTTATAGACTTCAGCCTGAAAATCAGGAAGCAAAGAATAATAGCAAAGAAGAAAAGAAGTTTAAAATCAGTCAGTAGTGTAACTCCTCTCCCCGCCCCAAGTCATGGAATAAGATTCACTCTTACAACAAATACTAAGTTCCTACCATCTAAGTTTAGATGAACTTTTAAAGAAAACCCCCAAGTATAGATCCTATAGGAGAAACTAATCACTAAATCAGCGAAATGCCAAAACATCTGAAATATGTATATGTATTGATGTATTTCAATACAAATGTGACATTAGGGATTACCATTTGCTCTCTCAAATTTACAAGATAGAGTTATCTTTGCCAAAAACCGAGAGCATCTCAGTTCCTTTTCTGTTCCCACCTAGTTCTCAACAGGACTAAAGGACTTATCCTATGCATAGTTGTTCACTTCCCTCAGAGGGTCAGGTGAACTGGGGAACAAGAGGAACTGGCGCCTTTCCCTACTTCTCTTTCAATTAGTTTCTTGAGGTACGTGGCAAGGGCCTGGACTCAGGAAGCTTGAGAAAGACTGATGGAGGAAGGGCTGTAGGGGGTCAGGGAAGGGGCTGCCTGAAGAACAGCCCGCCTCTCCAAGGAACTGAGGAGGTCCTGTCCCAGCTTCGCCCCTGCAGTCACGAACCTCGGTGCACTCGCCCAGGGAAACAACTCCAGTTTTCCGTTCCACTGAAGTGAGTCCCCCACCGGCGGCAGGTGCTGGGCGTCGGCGCCGCCCCCTCCTCTGTTAGTGATTCCGAGGCCTGGCTGCGCCGGCGCGGAGAGAGGGGACGCCGAAAGCATCTCCAGGGAAACAGAGAGGCGAGGCGGGACGACCGGGGGTGGGGTTAGGCTAAACCGGGCCTTGGGATTGGAGCAGCTCCCAGACTCTTCGGGCTTGGGGGCGGAGTCTGGCGAGGGGCGGAGCTTACTGATGACCGGGCGGGGCCCCCAGACAGCGGATGCTTTTCAAGCAGGGTTGCTTTCAGAAGTTAGCTCACTTTTAGGCATTTTCACATAACCCAAGGGGCTCTAATTTGCCACTTTGATTTCTTTCGTGGCCTTTCATTCTCAATGTTTTTCTTCATTGCCCTTTTGTCCACAGGATTGATAGGAAAACGCTGAGCCAGGCATCCATGACCCCGTGACCTGAAGCCAATTTATCCATCTAGCTAAGTCATTCATTCTCCTCTTCCTCAGCCTCTCTTGCAGTCAGAACCCACCACAAATGCCTTTTCCTGTCCTGGCCCCACAGACAATTCAATTTTGAATTGTGGTTCGCTAAATACTCAAGGTCTCTTTAAGAGAATCTCCCTGCATCTGTCCTTATTCGTTTTGCATTTTTACCTAAAACTCAGGGTTTTATATTTACACTAAATAAATATCATCCTGTTAATCTTGGCCCATCATGCCATCTCTCCTCTCAGAATGAGTGCAAGGAAGTGAGCCTTCTTGCTCATTCCCTCATATATATGGGGCAAGAAAGTGAGGCTTGCCACTTGTTACTTCTAAAATACAGAAGTGCTGGAAAGTTAGGCTTTTGTTCTTTGTCTCCTGTCACGCATTGTAGGAGAATGAGTCAACAATATTGCTCACACGAATCATTCTACTAACCATAAATCGATTCTATTTGGAGTACAAGCATATCAACCATAACCACACTTTCATTCTAACATCTGATTTGCTGTCACAAGTTACTAAATTATTTCCAAGTAAGTTTACATTATACATTCAATGATGACTGTGACCATCTGTAACTGGGCTCCACCCATCCCCCACACCAGTAAGACTCTCATTCTATTCTCATGAGTTTATTTTCCAATTTCAGCATCACCTTAACACACTCCACTGTGACCTGTGTGAATTCTTTTCCAGTCCCCTTGCTGCTTTTTCTGACTTAGAGGTTTGTGAATTCCATTCACCTTCCTTTCTCACAGGAGGCTGTCTTAGTTGGCTTTCTAGGAAGTTCCTTCCTGCTTCTTTGGACTTATTTCTCCTACTTGCTGTTTTTTCACTATAAGTTATTTGACTAATTCTCTTTCTCCTTCTGTTTAGCATAGAATTCCTTCAGTTAGAGAACTTTGTTCGCAAGTGACAGGAAACTCAAACGGGCTTAAGCATAAAAGGAAACTGACGGCAAACAAAGGATGCCAGATTCAGGTGCAACTTTATCTAGAGACTCAGGCCTTTCTGAAAGCTTTGAGGATTCCAGAATACCCGTACCTTTCACAGAATTAATTTCTCCTCCTCTCGCCTCCTTTCTCTTAGACCTACCTTTATTTTATCAGTATAACTTTGCATGGTGTTTGGCTTATGGGAACCAAACTTGCCTGAAAGATTTTGAGTACCTTGAAAGCACAGACTTTGTCTTATTGTTTTCTGAATTCCCTGGAATAGTACAAGGATTAGTATACAGTATGTGCTCAAAACTATTTTTTGAATTAACTGAATGAATGACAGAATAGAGTGGTTTTTCAAACAGATTCTTCCTTATGTAATTCTTCTCATTGCTTCCTCAATCTTCCCCACCTAGAATTCTAGGGAGAAGGTCAGGTGATGCAATTGATAATTTGAATACTATTACTGACATGACAACCTGTAAAGTTTCCTCTTCCAATCTTTCTCTGGAGAAATGATTTTAGGTTAGGTCAGCTCCCTAAAGAAGCAAGTGATAATTTTCTAGTGCAAGCCAAACCATCTGAACTACTCCCCATAATTGTTCTCAAAGTGGTTTTGATATCTCGATCATCAATTTCTACAGTAAAATTATTCTGAATTCTTCTTGTTTTACTAAACACATCCCCAAGTAACATCTTAGGAAAGAACATATGAGATAAAATTTTGAAGTTCTTTTATGTCTGACAATATCCTTATTTTGCCTACGATCTTTTGGTAGGGTTGCACATTCTAAATTAACAATCATTTCCCTCTGAATTTAGAAGGTATTATTTCACTGTTTTCTAGTATCCAGTGTTCGAGATGAGAAGTCTAGGGGCAATTTTATTTTCCTTCCTTTGTATGTGATGTAATAGTAAGATCCATATGTGGTGACAACCACAAATCTGTGCGTCCTAAAACAACAACGTTTATTTATTGATTACAGTATGTCACCATCACAAGTCAGCCTTGGGCTCTGCTCCATGCTATGTCACAGGAGAATCAATATGAGAGAACCTTTGCCAGCCTGGAGGATGGCTGGTCTATAGCAGAGAGATCATGAGAGTAGACTGCACATTAGCTTTAAGGGCTTCCTCCAAAAGGATACCCATCACTTTCGCATTTCGTTGGCCACAACTGAAATAGCCATGCTCAACTTTAAGAAAGCAGATATCTGCGATTTCACCTGTGTCTAAAAGACTAGATATCAATTAATGGTCATAATGATGGTCGTAGACCTGGTTTTTCCCCTCAACACAGGCATTTTTAGGTTACTTTCTTTATCTTTTTTGTTCTCGAATTTTATGGTAGAACTCTTCAGCTGAGTACTCACATCCTTCTTTAGATTTAGATAATTGTCTTCAATTTTTTAAATTATAATTCCCTTGTCTCAAATTTTTTCTATTATTTCTTTAAGATTCTGTTTAGTGAATGCAGATCCCTAGATTTGTCGTTTTTATCCTTGATCTTTTTAAAAAGATTTTTATTCTTTTTGCCTTTATATTCTAAAGTCTGTAAGTTTTTGACATTATTGCTTTTTAGTCTTCAATTAATTTTTTTGTACATAGGAGGAGTCACATTCTTAGTCTTTGAGCGTTCTTGCTTTCTGATTGCTCCTTCTTTATAGACTCTTCTTTTATGAATGAAATAGTTTGCAATTATCTTTGAATATATTAATTTGTTTTTTAAAGTTGTCTTTTTATTTTTAATGTCTGTGGGCACATAGTGGGTGTATATATTTATGGAATACATGAATTATTTTGATATAGACATAAAATGTGTAATAATCACATCAGAGTAACTGGAGTACCCATCACCTCAAGCATTTATGCTTTGTGTTACAGACAATCCAACTGATACTCTTATTTTTAAATGTTGAATTAAATTATGATTGATTGCAGTCACTCTGTTGTGCTATCAAATACTAGATCTCATTTATTCTTTCTAACTATATTTTTGTACCTCTTAACCATCCCCACTTCCACCCCCACCCCCTCACTACTTTTCCCAGCCTCTGGTAACCATTCTTCTACTCTCTATCTCCATAAGTTCAATTGTTTGAATTTTGAGTGCCCACCAATAAGTGAGAACATGTGAAGTTTATCTTTCGGTGCCTGGCTTATTTCACTTAACCTAATGACCTCCAGTTCCATCCATGTTGTTGCAAATGACAGGATCTCATTTTTTTTTATGGTGGAACAGTACCTCAAAGTTGTCTTTTTTTGTTAAATTATCTTTTCTTCCAGGAAAAGTGTTTCTTTTGTTAATGTTGAAATTTATGTGTTATATACCATATTGTATTTGGTTACTCTATTAATTAGCATTAGGTTCAGCTATGAGTAACAAACAAACAAGCAAACTACAGAATAGGAATGACACTCCATGGTGTCAGATTCCTAGTTCCTTCTGTTTTTAGCTTCACTACACATGGATTCCATTCCCAAGATTGCCTCACTGGTGATCCAGCTATTACATCTTATCCAAAGAAAGCCTGCACAGGGTGAGGGGGTCAAATGGGGAACCTAGTGGTTAAATTTTTAACAAAGGAAATTGCGCTATCTAGGCATATTCAGAGAAGACTTAGTAGCCTAAAGTGCAAAGCCCCTATTAAGCATTTTCCACTGAGGCATCTTTGCTCAGAAAATTCCCCGTTCTTGACTGATATAACTGTTCTTTCCTTGCTTGAAGATACTGCTACTTCTTTGCCTAAGGTGGTTCTCTTGAAGAAAAAATACAATACATTTTTATTTACCCAACCTATCCAGATCTGTAATTAGAAGTGAATTCCATCATGTCCTAGGGGACACTATTTTAAATATCCAAATCTGAGGAGGCTCTTGTAAACCCACACATGCGCACAAACACACACACACACACACACACACAGAGAGAGAGAGAGAGACAGAGAGAGACACAGAGAGAGATGAATTTGCTGGTTTATATCAGTAAAACTCTAAGAACATTGTTTTCTTTCAGAATAGATTTTTGAGGATTCTTCAAAAAAAGGTTGGAATACAATATTAGAAAAAATAAATTTGTCAAATGAGTACATTTTCCAGAGATTCTAAATTCCATGTGTTATTTTGGGTGACTAAGTGTATTTGACACTTTTCTGCTTTGGGTAATGCAAACCTTCCCAACTCTAAAGTAAGCTGTGTTGCCAAAAAAAAGAGAAAAGTTTAATTTTAAGTCTTTCAGAGACAGGAATGCTAGCATACATCATTATGTCTTACCTCCTAACTATGTTCCCTTAAGACCATGTTGAAATTTTCCATTCCTCAAGGATTTGAGATCTACAAAGCCAGAGACTTTATAAGTTCATTATCATCATGTTTCCCTTGTTTAATAGCGCTACTGGGAGATGTTAAACTGAAACGGGCACCATGACTTCAAGGGAGAGACAATGTTTCCAGGAAAGAAAGGCTAGATTATCAAATCTCATGGGATATTTACCATAAACATACAGCCATGCCATAGTGTTAATTAGTATGACCTGATCTGCAGAGATCTACAATTATGATTAATTGGTTATGACATTGTTAGAAATCAAATAATGGGTAATCTACTTAGAATTTGATTTGTATGAGAAAAGGGGAAAATAAAGTCTCCTAAATCTGGTAAACAGAGGCCTGACCTGAGTTACCA